TTTGTGACTAAGTGTCTACTAAAAAAGACTAAACATACCCCACTTTCAATACCTTGGGTTGTCTACTTTTTCAAATTGTATGCCATTATGGGGATAATTCTCATTCCTGGGCTACCACACTGTCTCAAAAGTAACATTACTAATCTGGCAAATTTCAATTTGAAAATGGAACATTCTATATTTGACCCTGTAACTTTCCAAAACACCATAAAACCTGGGGGTATTGTTGTACTCGTGAGACATCGCTGATTACAAATATGTGCATTTTTTTTTGCAATAAAACCTAACAGTATTATGACATTCACAGCTAAAATGTCAGATGGAAATACAAATTAATCAAATATCTTATTTTCTCACATTTTTTTAAATTTTATTCATAATAAATTATGTTCCATATTTGAATAGTTAATGATAAATTAAAGCCCAAATTCCAGTTTTTGTTTACGTTTTGTTTTGATCAGAACGTGCACTATTGACTACGTCCTAAAGGGGTTAAGGACTGAGCCAATTGTACAAGTTGTGATCAAATCAAAACGTAAACAAAACCTTGAATTTGCGCTATATGACTGTTCAGGCGTAATTCATCTCTTTCATATTATGTGCACCCACACTTATCATATATCATTTTGTTCAGGAGAAAGAGGTAATGTGTCACATCAAATATTTGTACATTAAGCATAATTTAATATGAATAAAATATTTTTTTTTTTAAATGAGAAATTAAGAAATTATATTTTTTTTAGTTCTGCATGGCATTTTAACTGTGAATGTCATAATACTGTTAGCTGTTACTGCAATAAAGTACACATTTGTATTCAGCGATGTCTCACGGGTACCCACCATGTATAAGTTTTGTGGTGTTTATACACATTGAAATTTGACAGACTGGTTTTGTTGCCTTTGAGACCAAATGGTAGTCTCAAAGGAGACATACCCCCATGATTGCATACCATTTGCAAAAGTAGACAACCCAAGGTATTACAAATGGGGTATGTCCAGTCTTTTCTAGTAGCCACTTAGTCACAAATACTGGCCAAAGTTAGCATTCATATTTGTGCGTGAAAAATGCAAAAAACTAAACTGATATATATATATATATATGTATATATATAATCCAAGCACTTTTATTTACTTTATTAAACTTTTTTACAGGCATGAGGGGGACTGCCTGAAAGCTCAGGCAGACCCCCTGCAGGCTCTGCATAAGCCAGCTATTCCGGCCATCTGATTGCGAGAACCCCGCGATCACATGGCCGGGGTAGGGGAGAGGCGGATTAAGCAGAAGGGGTCTAGCCCAGGATCGCGACTGCTGGCAGGTACCCGATAAAAGGACGGCGGGGATGTTCTATGCCACCCACCGGCGTTTAGGACAACCCCAAAAAGCACGGCATAGAACGCCCGCCATCCTTAAGGGGTTAATCCATCCGACTCCTATTTGCAAATAGTTTTCCTATTATGTTGAAAAGGTTACATCTAGCATCATTACCTTCACCCCTTCGTGACCAGACCACTTTTCAATTCTTTTACCGTTAAGGACCAGTGCTTTTTTTAAAATTTTTGTTTGTGTTAAGCTGTAATTTTCCTCTTACTCCTTTACTGTACCTTCGCATATTATATACCAATTTTCTCGCCATTAAATGGTTTTTCTAAAGATACCATTATTTTCATCATATCATAAATAATTTACTTTACACAAATACACTTTTTCTAAGTATGACCCCCAAAATCTTTTGGGCATCTACAACTGCCCCAAAACACCCATGATTAATAATTTCTAAACTTTGCCCTGATTTTAGAAATACTCAATGTTAACATGTTCTTAGCTTTTTTTTTTTATAGGGCAATAAGTACAAGTAACACTTTGCTATTTCCAAACCATTTTTTTTCAAAATTAACACAAGTTACACTGTAACACTGATATCTGTCAGGAATCCCTGAATAACATTTCACATGCATAAAAAGAATACAGGAAAAATTCACAGATCTGAAGAAACCCCTCAGATGTGTAAATGGTGTCTGGAAATTTGTGAATAAATAATATCAACATTCAAAAATAATAATAATAGGTAAATATAACAGAAAAAGGTCAAAAAACGATCAGTACATAAACCTCCACAGCTTAAATAACTGTACCTCCCTAATGTCTATGTTGGTTATAGTCAAAATCAGACTCCTGACTTTAATGTTATATTGTTAGTGTCAATGTCTGAAATACATAAAGATACAAATATCATAGACAGCATTCTGATTATACACAGCGTTTGTATCAAAGTATCAGGTACTCGGCAAAAAAGCAACAGAATAGTGTTGCTGCCTCGTTTATTTGAATTCTGCTGTGTTTTTCTATAGATTCTATGGGGTGAAGATAACCTGTTAAATACTGATCAACAGGCTTGTCATTCATATAGCTATATGTGGGATTGACTTCATTGTCTAAATACCCTTCATATGCAAAGTACCCAGTCCATAAAAATAAAATAAAACGAAAAAATTGACGGACTGATCGTGGCTCCCTGTGATACTAAATATAGAAACAGGTATATTACAATTCAATTCCCCATAGTGTATAATCAGAGTGCGCAGGAGGAGAAAAAAGAGAAAATAGAACAATTAATACGTGCTAATGTGCAGGACCATACTTAGAATGTTGGTCCTTGCACATGTGACAGTGTGCCCTGTGAAGTGAGGAAAAAGGAAGAAGAAACCCGACGCGCGTTTCGGTGCCACTAGCGTGCACCTTCGTCGGGGGCTGAAAGTTAATGACGCCTGGGTCACTGTTTATATGCATCCCATGTTTGCTTGTTAACCACATAGGCCAATCAGATGGTCAGAAAACCGGCGCCAAACGGAGAAGAGTGTAACGAATAAATTATGCAAATGGACCTTTTGAATGGTCCAATCAGAAGATAAGCTTCTGTTCCTAACTTTTTACAATGCCGCTAAGTTCAGTGGTTTAACCCTTTGAATATTGAAAGAATAGAAATGAATCAATAGCTTAACAACTATCTTGTATTTAATTCATATTGACTATCCTGGTAGATCCGGATCCTTATGTCCTTATGCAGTGGACATCGAATTAGTTCCAATTTAAAGTTAGGAAAAAAACGTACATATGTTGATCCCCAACTAAAAAATTTGGAACACAAATTTGATGTACTGCATTTGGCTAGTTAAAATTACTAGCAACCTCTTGTAGAAATAAATGAATAGTAAAATATATATATATATATAAAAATAATGATAATAATAATAAAGAATCCATGTATATATATATATATATATATATATATATATATATATATATATATATATATATATATATATATATAACTTTACAGAGTACTATTCGATGCCGTTTTTAAAGAATACTAATCTCATAGCAGTCACCAGAGAACTAACTCAATGTAAGAAAATGTTCCAGTGATAAGCTATATATACAAAGCGTTTAATGCATAACCATATTTTATACACTGAACCCCTATCGCACAATCCTATAGGAATGGGGAGGGTAGAGAGATGCAGGGGGGTATCTAAAAGTACTAAATAGAGATTGATATATCGCCATTCAAGGAATTCTCTCAGCTTTAATTTTAAGGTATATAACTTAAGCCTCTCTGATAAAGTTGTTCCATATACTCCATCTATATTTAGTTATGGGCAGTGTCTCTCTCTCCATCTTTAATTGGAAGGAGATTTGTGTTTTTAATATTGCTCATGTTGGGGACTCCCTCTGCTTCCAAAATGTAAAGGTTATAGTCACATGAACAACTACAGCTTAATGTAGTTGTTCAGGTATGATCTATAGCTCCCTGCAGGCAATCTAATGTAAACACTGTATTTTTAGAGAAAATACAGTGTTTACATTGCTTGATAGGAATACCTCCATACTATCACACTGCATTATATGCACACACTATACAAACACTGCATTATATGCACACACTATACAAACACTGCATTATATGCACACACTATACAAACACTGCATTATATACACACACTATACAAACACACTGCATTATATACACACACTGCATTATATACACAGTGTGTTTGTGTAATGTATGTGTATATAATGGAGTGTATGAGAGGGTATTTTTTATTAAATTGTTATTATATTTAATTATTATTTTTGTTGTCACCCTCCCTGCTTGTTACTTGGCCAGGGAGGGGGGATATAGCAGTCCTTGGTGGTCCAGTGGCATAGGCTGAGCTGTAGGGGGACAGGCAGCAAGCATTTACTCACCTCCCAGCAGCTCCTCCAGTGTAACTCTTGTGGCCACCGTGCCGCGCGGAGCATTGCCATGGTGACCCATGGCAACGCTCTGACGGCTGCAGGTCTTGCGAGAGTTACATTGGGGAGCTGGAGGAGAGTAAACGCTTTCTGCCCGCCCCCCGAGGACCGCCAGTTTGTAATGAGCCTGGCGGTCCTAGGAGGTATTATCGGCAATATCGGTATCTGAATTGGCCGATACTGATATTGCTGAAAATACCAGCCGATTATATCGGTAAAACCGATAATCGGTCAATCCCTAATTGGGAAGTAATCCAATTATCTCCAGGGACAGAGGCAAAACTCCATTGAACACATGGCAGCAAAAGACAATAAAAAAACATAACTGTGCGGCCATTGCACAAAACAGGTACATTCAGCATATTCCCAGATAGCTCAGATCTGAGCGCACATTATTACTGAATGGCGCTCAGAGCACACACATACAGTTCAATTGCCATGGAGCCAAAGTCTTTCCCATAGTCTTTCATTATACGAATGGGCTCCATGGCATAGCTATCTGGGATATCACCGCTCAAACAGGGCACGCACCGAATGACCTGATTTTCGTGTCTTCGCAGGGGAAAATCAAGCGTTTCAACATGGGGCCATAGTCTAAAGGCAGCAGGCGGGCAACCAGGCTCCTCCAATGCAATGTGGCGAGATTGGTCTCGTCACACCCCCAGTCTCTCTCTCCCATACAGTGTCTGTTATCCCCCCAGTCTCTCTCTCACACAGTGTCTGTTATCTCCCTCCAGTCTCTCTATCACACAGTGTCTGTTATCCCCTAGTCTCTCTCACAGTCAGTTATCCCCCCCAGTCTCTCTCACACACAGTCAGTTATCCGCAGTCTCTCTCTCACACAGTGTATTATCCCCCCCAGTCTCTCTCAGTGTCTTATCCCCCAGTCTCTCTCTCACAAAGTGTCTGTTATCCCCCAGTCTCTCTCCCACAAAGTATCTGTTATCCCCCCAGTCTCTCTCTCTCACACAGTGTCTGTTATCCCCCCAGTCTCTCTCACACACAGTGTCTGTTATCCCCCCACAGTCTCTTACACACAGTGTCTTATCCCCCCAGTCTCTCTGCGGTGTCTGACCTCCCCCCCCAGTCTCTGCGGTGTCTGTTATCCCCCAGTCTCACAGTGTCTGCTATCCCCCCAGTCTCTCACACAGTGTCTGTTGTCCCCAGTCTCACACAGTGTCCCAGGCCATCCCCCCCAATCTCTTTCTCACAGTGTCTGTTATCCCCAGTCTCTCTCTCTCAGTGTCTGTTATCCTCCATCTCTCTCAAACTGTTATTACCCCCAGTCTCTCTCACACAGTGTCTGTTATCCCCCCAGTCTCTCACAGTGTCTGTTATTCCCCCCGTCTCTCTCTCACAGTGCCTGTTATCCCCCCAGTCTCTGTCTTACACAGTCTCTCTCTCACACAGTGTCTGTCTCTCTCTCTCTCACACACAGTGTCTGTTATCCCCCCAGTCTCTCTCTCACACACACAGTGTCTGTTATCCCCCCAGTCTCTCTCTCTCAGTGTCTGTTATCCTCCATCTCTCTCAAACTGTTATTACCCCCAGTCTCTCTCACACAGTGTCTGTTATCCCCCCAGTCTCTCTCACACACAGTGTCTGTTATCCCCCCACAGTCTCTTACACACAGTGTCTTATCCCCCCAGTCTCTCTCACACATAGTGTCTGTTATCCCCCCAGTCTCTCTCTCTCACACAGTGTCTGTCTCTCTCACAGTGTCTGTTATCCCCCCAGTCTCTCTCTCTCACACAGTCTCTCTCTCTCTCACAGTGTCTGTTATCCCCCAGTCTCTCTCTCTCTCACAGTGTCTGTTATCCCCCAGTCTCTCTCTCTCACACAGTGTCTGTTATCCCCCCAGTCTCTCTCTCACACAGTGTCTCTCACACAGTGTCAATCAGTCTCTCTCTCTCAGTGTGTCAGTCTGGTCCCCTGTATATGGCACTCTCAGTGTCAGTCAGTGTGGTCCCCCGTATTTGGCACTCTCAGTGTCAGTCAGTGTGGTCCCCCGTATATGGCACTCTCAGTGTCAGTCAGTCTCTCTCTCTCAGACAGTGTCAGTCTCTCTCTCACACAGTGTAAGTCTCTCTGTCTCTCTCTCAGTGTCAGTCAGTGTGGTCCCCCGTATATGGCACTCTCAGTGTCAGTCAGTGTGGTCCCCTGTATATGGCACACTCAGTGTCAGTCTCTCTCACACAGTGTCTGTCTCTCAGTGTCAGTCAGTCTCTCTCACACAGTGTCTGTCTCTCAGTGTCAGTCAGTGTGGTCC